GTGATTCCTGCCGATAAAGATCCAAGGGCTCCCAGTCCGAAGCTTCAATCGCACCGCCATCATCATCGTCCTCTATGTCATCTCCGTCTTGGTCGGAGCCAGGATCATTAGCAAGAGTCAAGCTGCCATCACCTTCAAAGACACCGAGCTCCACAGGCCGCTTCTGACTCCGTCTGAACGGATACCCCGCTGCCAGCGACACCTTAATTTTTGCAACAGCGGTCTCCGCAAAGTTGTTGCCTAAGCGACATTTCGAAAGGAAATCCACCGCCTCAATCATCTCACGTAGTGCCTCGTGGAGCTCTGGAGCTAAGGGCGCACTTTCCCAGCGAGCCTTCAACAAGGCCTGCCAAGTTGTAACCACACGCAAGGCCTTGCCAGGACACTCAGAGCTCCGGACCACAGGCTCGCGATTTGAAGCATACGTGTATAGCTGCCGGCCCCAGGCCACTGGTGAATCTTGTATAGACAGCTTCGGGCAATTCACAGGCAAGAAACTACGCAAACACTCCAGCGACTGCTCGTATGCCAGGATCTGGGGCAAAATCGCCTGGTCGAAGCTGTGTTTGTTCTTGTACCCAGACTTGCGATTAAAGATGCAACGGTTCAGCTCTGGCCCCAAAGTCGCAACCACGCCGTGGTAGATGTCTGCGCGAGGCCTTCGAGGTTGTGTTTCCACAAGTCGTTCTGCTTCCAAAATCTTCTCCAAAACGGAATACACAGCAAAGAACGGCAGCGGTAGCTGCAGAAAGTCCGGCGGCACACCGGACGCAGGCATGGCTGCTTTGGATGGCAACCTCTACATATACAGGCTAGCACCTGCACCCCCTGCATACACAAACAACAACAAGAGGTGATCGTGCCAAAATTCGACACGCTTCCGACAGCCAGACCCTGTTGGACCACGGTTAGCTCTAGCTTTAGAAAGCTCAAGCAACAGTTAGCTCTAGCTTCAGGTAGCTCAAGCAACCGTTAGCTCTAGCTTTACATAGCTCCAGCAACTGTTGGCTCTAGCTTTAGGTAGCTCTAGCAACAGTTACCTCTAGCTGCAGGTAGCTCAAGCACCAGTTACCTCTAGCTTTAGGGAGTTCAAGCAACAATTAGCTCGAGCAAAAATTAGCTCTAGCTTTAGGTAGCTCAAGCAACAGTTAGCTCCAGCAACCGTTAGCTCTAGCTTTCGATAGCTCCAGCACCAGTTAGCTCTAGCTTTAGGTAGCTCACAAAAGTTGCATCCAAATGTCAAGTGGCTCTGTGCTATGTTTCCTCATGATGCAATTTCACCTCCCACACACATGTCCTACATGTGTTATATTGGCATGTATTTGTGGCACTGTTCTGACTATTTTGCAACGTGACTGCTGCTGAGGTGAATGAAGCATCAGACACCACACAACGACCAAGCGACCGAGCTTTGGTGCCTGGTTAAATCCAAGTTCAGCACTTGGGGGTTGTGAAACTTCGCGTGACAAGAGAACATTGAGATTACAATATTTAGACCCGCCGGCAGTGCCACCTTGGAAGTGGTTCGGCAATATGTTTGGACTGCAGTTGCGTCACCTCTTGGACATTTAACCCGTGGGTGGTGCCCTGAGCACGCTAGTCTTTGGCCGAAAACACCTAACTAGACGAATTGAACCGACTGGTGCATGTTAACAGACACTTTAGCAAGACCCCAGCTATGTCTCATGAACTGTTCTTTCTCCGCTGGAGACTATCGCACCAGACTGCTGTCGCTCTCGCTCTCTCTCTCTCTCTCACTCTCTCTCTCTCTCCATGTTTCCGATGCTGACACGACAGACCTTAACCACCAGTCCCTTGACATCCCAGTCTTTGGAGATCACAAAAAGTTGACCATGCCAAACTTCCGTGTTACGGACCTTCGACAACTCCAGCTCGACAACTGACTGTATGAAAGAAACACGAAACCTCACACGACCAACAATGTCGAGTCCAGCCGCCCCCAAACCGCGAGACCCAACCATCCACACATCCCCCGGTTAGACATAGCCATGCTGAAAGTAGATAGACGTGCTGGAAACGCCACTCCTTTCGGGAAGGTCACCCCAAACTTGCCCAAAGACAAAAACCGGAGATTATGCAATTCCAGACCTGGACGCTTGCATCGCTCGATCGGAAGTACATAATCTCACCCCCCAGCCTCTAGAATCCCCCTTTTTGCAAAGTCTCACCTTTTTCTTCACTCCCGACCCCTGGACCTCTTCGCTCCACGACCCGTTCCCTCCGGCCTGACCCTCCAGAAGGCTGGCGTGCAGCGCCTCGTCGCAAGCACCAAGCTGGCGTCGATGCCACTCGCCACCACAGCCGGCCATGCAGATCGATGTTTGTCTTCAACGCAGGAATGTTTTAACTGATCCTGCTAAATCCTAACTAGACCATGTCATGTCATCTTATCTGTCGTATTATTAACCATATTGTCTGATTCGATTTTTGCATTGGAGATGATGAAATCGACCGAAACATGTTGTTTGCAAGGAAGATGTTCTAAGTGGAGTGATGTAGGCTCCTGTCGGTCTTCTGTCGGCCATCTTTACAGAGTTGCTAGTGACTTGTTTCAGTCGGTCTTCTGTGGACAAGGAGAGTAAACTGAGTCAACTCACAATCCAGAGAGCAGGCAATGAAACGCTCCGCACGGGCACCGACCTCGACACCGGAAAGAAACGACGATTCCAGAAGAGCAACCTTTAAAAGGACGACTGAAACCCCTGTTCGAAAAACCCTCGCAATGCCAACCAGTGGAGGAAAAGCCGGACCTGAGAATCCGGGGTCGGCGGCAGGGGCGGCAGCCCTTAAATCCGGGCGCCGGCCACGCGCCCGTGTCCTTGCCGGAGGCCTTCGGTTGGTAACCGAAGGTTATATACGCTCGCGCCCCCTGCCGCCGACCCTTTTGTTGGACCGCGGGGATACCCCTGGTCGACCCCCGGTCGAATCCGGTCGACAGATTTTTATGTATCTTGCGCTGGATGTTCGAAAATTGTTCAAAAACATCATTTTTTACAGTGTTTCGTGGCCTTCGGCGTCCACGACAGTGTGCCCGTGGTGTCAGTTATGCGTGCCGCGCGGACAGGCTTAATCGACATTTCGTGGGTGTTGGGCACAGAAGTTGCCTAACATATCCCCAACATAGGCCCAAGATAGCCAACATATGCCCAACATAGCCTCCAAGATGGCTCAACATAGGGCCAACATGGGGCCAACATAGGCCCAACCTAGGCCAACATAGGCGTAACATAGGCCGACCTAGGCCCAACATAGGCTCAACTTGGGCCCAAGATGTGCCCAACATAGACCGCATGGGCTCAACTTGGCCCAACCTACGGCCAAGATGCGCACCAGATAGCTCCACCAAGTCTCAAAGAGAGAGACAGGTGTGTGAGAGAGAGAGAGAGGGAGAGAGACAGAGAGACAAAGAGAGAGAGACAGGACCCAGCCCTGCACATACCCAAACCCAAATAGGCCGGCGCCCGGCTGTCAGGCGTAAGCCTCATAAATCCGGGCGCCGGCCACGGGCCCGTGTCCTTGCCGGAGGCCTTCGGTTGGTAACCGAAGGTTATATACGCTCGCCGCCCCTGCCGCCGACCCTTTTGTTGGACCGCGGGGATACCCCCGCCCGACCCCCGCCCGAATCCGCCCGACAGATTTATATGTATCTTGCGCTGGATGTTCGAAAAATGTTCAAAAACATCGTTTTTTACAGTGTTTCGTGGCCTTCGGCGTCCACGACAGGGTGCCCGTGGTGTCGGTTTTGCGTGCCGCGCGGACAGGCTTAATCGACATTTCGTGGGTGTTGGGCACATGAGTTGCCTTACATATCCCTAACATAGGCCCAAGATAGCCAACATATCCCCAACATATGTCCAACATAGCCTCCAAGATGGCTCAACATAGGGCCAACATAGACCAACATGGGGCCAACATACGCCAACATAGGCCCAACCTAGGCCAACATAGGCCTAACATAGGCCGACCTAGGCCCAACATAGGCTCAACATGGGCCCAAGATGCGCCCAACATAGACCACATGGGCTCAACTTGGCCCAACCTGGGGCCAAGATGCGCACCAGATAGCTTAACTTTGCTCAATAGGAGAGGGAAAGAGAGAGAGTGAGAGAGAGGGAGAGGGAAAGCGAAAGCGAGAGAGAGGGAGAGAGAGAGAGGCAAAGACAGCGAAGACGGAGACAGAGAAGACAGAGACAGAGAAGACAGAGACAGAGACTGACAGAGAAAGAGACAGAGACAGAGACAGAGACAGGGACAGAGACAGAGACAGAGACCGACAGCGAGAGAGAGAGAGAGAGGGAGAGGGAGAGGGAGAGAGGATCCAGTGCGCGGACTCTAACCCAAATTGGCCGGCGCCCGGCTGTCAGGCGTAAGCCTCATAAATATATACTAAGTCTATATATTATATATACTCTATATACTCACTAAGTCACTAAGTGTTTATATCACTCTATTGCAATCCAACCGGGGAGGAGTAACCATTTTTGATTGAGAATCTATACGTCACCGATTCCCCGTGGAAAGTCCGTTCGGTGCACACCTTCGTTCGAAGCACCGTCCGAATAATGGTCGTCTTCTTCGGTCAGTGATGTAGACTACTCTTGATTGATAAAAATGATTAAAAAAAAAAAAAAAAACATCCCGGGAGGTTGGAATGGAACCTCGTTTTCACACATGAGGGGGATATGGTTTTCGGTTAGATCAATCAAGAGATATCAAAGGAGCCGCGTCTCGCGCCTTTCAACCAGTCCGATCTCGTCCACTCAGGGGATTCCGAATGTATTGATACTGGCCCCTCGAAATAGAGAGTGGCATCGTCTCCAATAGATTTTTAGTGGGAATCGAATACCATGTGAAAACACCATGCTCTATCGATTTGGGAGTCTATCACAGCGGAGAGCTGCGACGTCACACGTGATACACGTACGTCACGTGACCGTGGCGCGCGTGACGTCCCGGCATCCCGTCGGCGGCCCAGCAGCCACATAGCGCCGCGCGAAGTTCATCAACGCCGCCGCTTCGTCTTCCAGCACCCTGCAGCGAGCGCGCACTGGGCGCGTCGACCAGTCGAGACCAGTCGTCCGACTTGATTCACATGTGATTTACGTGGATTTACCGATGGTGCTGAAGGAAGAACTTTGGCATCAATCGTCTGTTGCATCCTACACGTGTTGAACCTGCACCAGTCCTCTTTAAAAGGACAGTCTGAGTATCCAACACGTGTTGAACCGAGGCGCTTTTCCTCCTTGATTTCCAGCCCCAATGCTTCCCGGATGTCCACGGGCATGGGTGGTGGGGCTGATCGGATGGCTTTCAGCGCTCGGTAGTAGAGCTCGGTGTTCTCCTCGGCTTTCGCCCAAATCCGCCACAAGCAATGCATCTGGTAGCGCATCTGGGGAGCTGATGGAAGTGGTTCTGATTGGGTCTGAGATGAGATTTGGGGATTGGAGGGGATGGAAATGGATGGTAGGTCCTGGTAGGTGTTTGATCTTCAGGAAGCCTCATGTCATACAGACAAAAAGGAAGCCACATGTGTGCGCAGTGTGACTGTTAATCTCAACAAGCGTGGTCAGGATGAGGAACGAAGCCCGCAGAGTTTCTTTCAAGCTTGCCATGGGAGAGTACCTGCCTGAGGGCTTGGAGCAGCTCAGGAGAGGCGAGGTAAACATATGATCGAGGATTCTGAGTTGATGTCCAGGGAAGGACAACTGGACATCAAGGGTCCACACAGACTTACACTATCTTGGACTGGAAAGTCTGAGACTACATGAAGGAAGACTCAAGAACCAACAGAGCTCGGGGCGCCGAACTTGGAGGATAGGGGAAAATACACTCACTGTGACTCCTTCTTCCTGAAGAGGTCCATCAATGTCCGAATCAAACTCGGACATGCAGACGCCCATGGCCCGCCCATGGCCCGCCCATGGCCCGATGCGTTCGGTTGAAAAACGCAGTTGACAACGCAAAGCAAATGGACCGGGGAAAAAAGCACACTAGAAAATGCGTCCAGCACCTCCCACCCTGTGCGACTGGTATGTTGGATGAACTGGATGGACCTTCTCAGGAGTCAACGGGGGTTGTCTATTCAATTACAGTGGTGTCAGAGTAGATTCCACTGGCACCCCACCCGATGTCCTAGACAGATGGAGATTCCATATATAGACCACCTGAACCTGGGGGTGCCAGTGCATGGACTTGTGCCAATTGGTTTTACTGGAACTTGTTTGACTCCATGGACCGCCCCTGGGCGCTCCGCCGAGGTCCAGCACGTCGACGGGTGGAGCACGTCTCCCCCCAAAGATTCCAAAATCCCAAGGGGCCGTTGTCTTCGGAGATGTGTCATCACCCAGGACCCCCAAAAAATCAAAAAAAATCAAGATCTGCATGTTTCAAGATCGGCCTTCACCTTAACTAGCTGGCTGGATTTTGATGGAGGCCCCCATCAAATTACCCGTTGAACTTCCGTTGGGATGTCCTCCCAACTTTACATGCTCCCATGTGTGGCAAAGCACTCCAGCTCCCCATGCTTCGAGGGGCCCGAGAGCCGATAAACAAGGCCAGGCAGTTGAAGCACTCCTCCATCCTCGTTCCAACGGCCGAGGGCAGCGGAGCTGCGCTCGACGGACGTTCGGTGGGGGTAGGTGGTGTTGGGTCGGCTTGGGGGGTGTCGAGACGCTCGGAAATTCGTGCTTGGAGAGTACCAAGTTGTTGACTGCCGGGTGGCGATGTTCAAGTCGGCTTCATCGGCTTAAGCGGCAGGAAGTGCGGCTGGAGTGGCCCAAAGGAATTACCCAGATGCGACCCTGGACCCTCCCAAGTAGGGGCCGTACCCTCATATGGAGAGGTCCGGACCCGAACCAGTCCCTATGGTTTTGAGGGAAGGCTGGGCAATTGAGCTGTTGCTCTTGTGAGCAGTCTCCTGCAACATCCTCTGATGGGCCTGTTGCTGAGCGGCCCTGGGGTGGGCAAACCTATGAAAAAGTGGATGCTCTGGGTGCTTTTGGACATCTCAGATCTTCTCACAAAGCTACACTGGTTTCAGAGCAACTAGCACAAACCCCAAGAGGTGGTTTATATGGACCCCCATCTAAAGCACCTCTTGGGGTGCAAGTGCCATCTACTTCGAAACCACATAAACCACTGTATATACTTGTCTCGAGGACAATTGGACCATTGCACTCCTGTCAGGCCCCGTAGCTTGGAGGATGGACAGGATCCGAGTTCAACCTGTGCTCCGTCGGAGCTCTGGTGACTGATCCTCTGCGCTCACACCCCAGCGCTTTTTCAAAAGCCGAGCAGCTGTCTTCGAAGGTCTACGACCTGCCGGTCTTCAGAGACTGGTGGGCTGACAACCTGCTTTCAACATCCGGCAGGGTTGGTTTTTGTTGATCTATATATAATATATATATAATATATACAAGTGATAGAAGTCCTTCAGAGGATGCCCACTTTTCGTCTGTGCTTTTCTCGCCTGGGAGCCGCCAGCGGCTGGGCTACCCAGTTCTTTGAAATTCGACCGAGTCCGGCAGTTCAGCGGCCCAGGGTAGATGGCACAAACTGCCAGGCTGTCCTGGTACCCCTGTCCACTCCGAATCAACGCAAAAAAGAAAGCATCCAGCATGGATTCATTCTGATCATGTCACCTCTCGATCCCTCAAAAAGCAGGAGAGCTTATTCACCACAAAGAAAATAAACACATTCCCTTAGATTTCCTTGGGCTCTCCATGGCAGGGGTCGGACCCTCCATAGCAGGGGTCCGGACCCTCAAAACCCTATGTGTTTCCAGCGGCCTGCTGGGCCAAGACATGGCAGCGTTGTTCGCAGGCCTCCATACGCCTGCCGAGCGACTCCGGAGCCGAGAAGTGGGCGAATCCACCGGAGGGGCGTTTTTCGCGTTGGGTTGCCACCGGAGGGTAGTGGAACCTGTGTGAGGCACTGGGAGGATGCCAACTGATCAGTTTGGTCTTGACTAGGGCCCGCTAGGGCCTAGGGATGAATGAAGGGATCAAAATGGCCAATGAGTCCATGAATATCATGCAGATCTAATATAAGGTCAGCGATCAATGAGTTGGAGCAAATTCTTCGATTCCGCTCGCGGCGGGGTCTCTTCCGGAACTGGAACGTGTTCCTACCCCATAATGAGTGAAACACTCCTCAGTCAAACACTGCCAACGTCATATTCCGCACCTTTTGTGTCATGACTATAGTGTCATGGCTCATTCCCTCCTAATCCCCTAATTACTCCATAGTCCACTACCACTTCGGGGGCAGAGAAGTCATGACTTCCGAACTTCCTGGACCTCTCACGATGCCGCTACCAGCGCCAGACCATGCGTGATGCTGAACAGCACCTAACCAAAGACCACGCGCGCACAGACGAACGAGAAAAGGAACGATGCGCCGAAAACCGCCGAAAAAAATACCGATCCCCAACAGAGGTTAAATAGGACAGTTACTGGGGGTATTTATGGGATAGTCGAACTAGGGTTCTTCAATCTCTGTTGGCCAAGGGGCTTCATCAAACTGTCGGACCACAGCGCCAACTTCGTGTAGTCCTTGGGGTCTATGTCCTGCGCCGGACCGACACGCACGGCTCTCGGGAAGGCGCTGGGGGAAGCCCAGGAAGGCGCAGAAGCTCGGTGAACATGAGGAGCTGCGACGAACACGCGGAAGTTGGTCGAGCTTGGTTCGTCCTATGAAACCGACGTACTTGAAATCATGGACTTCAAGGCTCTCTGGGCCTTCGATACCAGTCACCGCATCCCAGCGAGCGAAGCCGAAGCCTCAGAATCCCATCCAGCCCATCACTCCTCCAACATGGAAGTGATGCCCTGGACTAACCTCGAGGTAACGCACTGAATCCGAGCTCCGATCCGTTTTCGGCCAATGCGACGAACATGGAAGCCGGACAACAGCTTCGGCTGGACAAGGAGGGTCCTCAACACGGATCTTGATTGATTTGGTCATCGGCTTTCATGTGTACACACTCCACTCTCACCACCCACCCTGGGTTACTGGCCTTCTCCTACAGTACCATACCGGCACCCCTTGTATATAGCAGAACAGGCGGCCGCAAACCAACGGCGTCTGCGCGGTGATTTCACCGCGTCCGGGACGGCCCCCTCTTACGTCGAGACCGCAGGACTCCAAGCACCGAAGAGGTATGAATTCTATAATCAATTGCAATTGAAATATACCAGGACTCTCCAAGGGGTGTCCAATGGACTACCCCACACTACCTATAGGCTTCCAGACAGGGCACCCCGACAGGAGGGTCCTGGTATAGTATTGATAAAGCCAACGATTTGAGTGACGATGGACTTCCAAGCCAGATATCCCCTCCCATAGACCAAACAAACAAAGGTTAAGTGACCTTATATCTTTGGGTGGCAAGTGGAGTCTGCTTGTTGGAGGCTTTCTTGACTTAAAAAACGACTCCACAAAAATCCCACTATATAAAACACCATGAAACCCTGGAAGAATCTTTGAAAACAATTGGGTTGCATTTTTGACACCAGCCCATTTTTTGGGATTTCGTTTGGTTTTGATTGGGGTGAGGTTGGTTTCAATTGGATGTTAATTTCTGGTCCCAGCCAATTTTTGGGATTTGGTTGGGATGTGGTTAGGTTTGTTTGGTGTTTTAGTGGGTTTAGTGTGGCAAATCATCAGGCCCATAGATATATAGCCCACCAAAAAAGCCCACAAAAAAAAGAAAAAACACACACACACAATCAAACCCCAACATTCACCTCAAATTACACACCAATACCACCCAAAACCTTGGGTACAGTCTTGCTCTTCAATTTTGCGACCCAGAAACAACAAGAGCGCTGAACATTTTCTTTGGGATTTTGCCAGCTTTCTCAGGGAGCTTACAGTGAATAATTGGGAGCCATCTGGGTTTCCATAGGCACTCGCTTGGGAAACACATGGGCCTAACATAATCATTATGGCATAATCTAAAACGCCTGTAACAAAGACGTCCTTGAGGGCATCTAATGAGTATAGGACCCTGGAGGTGTATTTATGGGATAGTCTATAGGAATCTTCAACCTTTGTTGACCCCTCGCATGTTCCATGAGTTTCATGTCAAGCCACTCTTGGAAGCTCACATGTCCACCTTGCTCGGGGCCAGTAGACGCGGCCGATGGCAGTTCCGCGGCACTCACGTGTTTCGTGGTGCTCGGGTCGTTCGTTTGGTTCTAGGGAGTTGCTGGTGGTCAGGGTGGTCAGCAGTCCTTCTTTGTAGGCTGTGAATCTATAAAGGCCCCGAAAAAGAGAGAAAACCCTGTGCGAGGCTGGAATTCATCAAGGGAATAAACGTGGATTTATTGCTGCGTGGAGGGAACAGTGCGTGCTGCAGCTTTGAGGGCTTCATGATGTTTCACAGTGTATTTCTCGCTTTGCGGAGTGCTTGATAACTTGATTCAACCGTTGTTTCCGCAAACATGTCGGACGTTGTCGATGGCCCACGAAGAGTTCCCACAAACCAACAGGATCATGATTTCGTCGGACGTGGGTTGAGAGTCAATGGCACAATCCCCAAAAGGTGGTTTATACGGACATCTTGGGGTTTGAGCCATCCATCTTCTCTGAAACTTTGCTCCAAAAGGTCGAACTAAACTTCTGGGCTGGTCTTGGCACGTTTTTGACACAGTCCACCTGTCATCTCCACTCGCACCCTGGCCATCGTCAGCTCTGATTTTTGGGCCCCACACCTCCCAGCTTCAATGGCATGTCTCCACAAAAAAGAGAGAAACCAATATACGCCACACCTCCCAGCTTCTTGAAACTACACACCCACCTCTTCTCACCTTCATTCCTCACCCACCCCAACGGCATCCCCTGCTCCACACCAGGTCGATCCAGGTCGTCGTCTCGCAGCGCTCCGCAGCGCTGGCAAGGCACGACCATTGAGGTCGAAGAGACGCATCAAGTTCTCAGAGCTCATCACCGGCACCTGAGCTCATCACCGGCAGGCGCCGGACCCCAGAGGTACTCAAAAAGGACCCGGTACGACCTGGGGGACCTCAGTACCCATATGGGATAGTACGGGATAGTCTATTTACAGCGTTGAGTGCAGGCACCTTTTGACCAACAGAGGTTTTTCATGGTTTTTCAGAACCCCTTGTTCAGGTCCCTGGCTACCTCGGTTGGTGAGGAGGAGGAAGAAGAAGGAGAAGAAGAAGCCGTCGGAGCTTTTCTCCGTGATTCGCAACAGTGAGGAAGGGACGGGCCTGGGGCGGGAAGGGGTGAAGGGAAGGGGTGGAAGGGGTGGGAGACACGAAAGGAGCTTGAGATGGACAGCATTGAATGAACGTGGGGGCCTCACAATCCTCCTGATTCCCATTTAAGATGATTGAGTGATTGTTGGATCTGCTTAAGACCATGATTCCCTTCTTTCGGTTCCGAAGGTGACCCGGGTCACCGGGTCACGCCATCCATCTCGCGATATCGCACGGGTCGCGCGTCGCTCGGAAGGCCTCCAGGAGCCGAAGGATTTGCACAAACTCCTCGCGGCGCCGCGGAGACGCAGCGCACATCGGGACGTGCGCTTTGCGCAGCGCAGAGCCGAGGAACGAGTGGACATGAACAACGTACATTTCATGATATGTATATTTTATGTTTCAAAATCAAAAGTTCATGTCAAAAAATTGTTCATGTATATCCCCCAAAAGGAGCAGCTGCCGAGGTTAACATCATGTTCCACGAGCTGTTTTCTTAGCACCAGCGCTGGGAGAGGGCTGGGAATTCCTGGAAGCTGCCGAGGTTTTTGAAACAACATTCTCATCATGGATGAATTGAAGGAGCTGTCCTGTCTCCGGAGGGCTCATGTCGTTCCATCATCAGTCATACTTATTCTTTTTATTATAGGCCCCTTCCGGTGTTTGGGGTGTCTATCTAATCAGTCACGAAAAGAGGCTTTGTTGAGGGGTGTCCTGGCATATATTATCAATGACGTATACCCTTTGGGATGATTGTTGATTGGATCAGATGTAACAAGAACTCCAGTCCGAGCTACTCCAGTCCGAGTTGAATCCACTGTCACAGCTCAGTTCTGCTTCTTGGTGTTCCATGGAAAGCCCATGAATAGCGCGACTTGCGGACTCATGAGGAACCACAGCCGACTCGGCGGTGAAGCAGTGAGGAACCAGGTACTGTTGATGAATACCCACCCACCCCCAACATGAAGAGGCTTTAGGCTTTATAAAGAGTCTATATGAAATCTTGCAGCCCCAGTCGACCCCTCCCCCCCTTCCACAGTTCATCCAACTTCCAAGCTAATTCGGGCTCTGCCATCTGGGGCGAATTCTATACAGATGGCACTACAAATGGCCTATCATGGCCAACCACCAAACCTCCCAAAAACGTCGAATCCGCTCCGCTCCGCTCCGGCCTCGTTCTCCAAAGCGCGGTCCAGATCGCTTTGCGTCAGCTGACCATCACCGTCCTGCGCGCGTTTTAGCCGGGCCCGCGAGGCGGGGGGAGGAGAGCTTCCCTCTCACAATCTGTAGCCCATTGCGATAGAACATGTATTACTATGGCGGACCAACAGTTAGAATATGAAAACATGTTAGTTATAAAGTTATACATGCAATTCGTACACACACACACCGAAGTTTTGTTTAACGAAATGAACATTCACCTTAAGCCACTTATATTATATGTATAGGCGCCGTGCTTTTTGGTCAACACCTGCTATACTCAGCTTCAGCTGCTATGTAGGC